GAGCTACTCCCAGAGCAACCAGGAACTCATTAAGGTCAGCACAGCTCAGCGTATTAAAACATGCTTCAGCAAAAAAAAAGAAAAGAAAAAGATTGTTAAGGGTTTTAACCTGTTTCTAATTTCAGGATTTATACCAACGCTGTGAAAAGATGAGGCCCACACTGTTCAGATTAGCCAGTGACACAGAGGACAGTGACGATGCTCTGGGTAAGTGTTAGAAAAGAACAGGGTGTTAATGACTCTTTTTAGTTATTAGTTTGTGTGTGCCATAAAAAGAAAACTGCTGTGATTTTGTCATTACTTTTTACAGTCGACATTCTTCAGGCCAACGACAGCTTGACACACGTCATCAACCTGTACAGACAGCTGGTACACGGGGAGGAGGTGACAAAAGATGGAACAGCCCTGCCCTCACAACCAGGTTGGTGTGATGTCAGCAGCAGCCTGATTGGTCATCAATGTCATAGCAGCGACACCAGATGTGTCTTTCTTCCTTATCAGTCAACAACAGCTCGGCCTTGGTAGACCTGATGGGACTGAACACATTAGCCAGCGGCCCAGAACCATCCACCCTACAGAGCCTAACTCAGAACATGGCCATCAGTCTCCTAGACGATGAACTCATGTCTGTGGGTGAGCATGGAACCTGCACACTTTCACACACATCTGTTGGACATTTAAACTGGATTAAAATGGTTTAGTCAGCACTGTTAGCACAGCAGCGTTAGGACAGTTAAACCTCATTTCCTGTTGGTTGGCTGACTACAACCCAACATCCCTTCAGGCAGACCACACCACAACAAAGCACAACACAGATTCCCAACCTGTTAGTTCTTAAACTCAGCCATGATGAGTTAATAATGTGTGTGTTTAAATAGTTTTGTGATCTAAACCAATAGTAAACTTGTTTTGTTTTTTTCATTCAGGGCTGAATGTAACAGAAAACTCTCAGAACACTTTTCAGGTAATTCTGAAGAACGAAAATGCATGTGTTGTGATACTAATTTGACATATTCTGTCTTCCTTAATCAGTCTCAAACTGTGGAGGTCATATATGTACAATGTACTCTTACCTTCAAGAAAGAAGTTGTAGACGTTTGCAGTTTGGACACACCTGTGTGTTATTGCTTTTTGTTTTTTTTTTATTATTGATTATTGATCAGCAGTCAAACAGGTGTTCCTAATGAAGTGGCCAATCAGTTGCAAAAAGGTGTTTGTTTTCCTCAGACTTTTGACGGCATAGACTCTTCTGCTTCACCTGCACCAGCTGCAGTGTTGCTACCTGCTGTGGTCCAGACACATCAGGCTCTGCCAAAAGGGGGCACCGCTGCTCCTCCAAAAGCCATGGAAGAACTGGACTTGCTGGGGAAAACACTGCTACAGCAGTCTTTACCTCCAGAGAGTCAGCAGGTGAAATGGTAACGTTTTTGACCTCGGTGTTGATGAAGATTTGATGAAGTGTTACTGCCAACAATGATCATGTAACCTCCATCCACAGGGACAAGATTCAGCCCCAGTCTAGAGTCTCTTTACGGGATCTGCAAACCAAGTCGAGCACTGGCTCTAAACCTGCTCCGTCAGGAAGCACGTCCTCTTCTGCCCCACCTCCTGCAGCTACCCCCAGTCTGCCTGCCCAATCAGAACAGCCCAACACTCACCTCCTGGCCCACCTCAGTCTGACGGCTACAGATAAAGGCTTCACCCCTGCAGCTAACCTCTGTGACATCATCTCTCTGGCTGATGTGACTGTGCCTCTGGAGTCCATCAAACCCAGTGAGTACTGGACCTTTCATCAGCTCACTGACTTGACTCGTTCCCAACATCTGATTCTGATGTGTTGTGTTTTCTCATACTTGTATCACAGGCAGCCAGTTACCAGTTACTGTGTTCGATAAACACAGTCTGCGGGTTTTGTTCACATTTGCCCGTGACTGTCCCCCATCTCGGCCTGATGTTCTGGTGGTCATCATCTCCATGCTGTCTTCAGCCCCAACTCCTGCCACCAACATCCGCTTCCAGGCAGCAGTGCCCAAGGTCAGTTCCTGCTGTGTGACTGTTTCAACAGGATGTAACTTAGAGTCTGAGCGTCACCATGTCGACATGCTCACATTGTCTACGTAGGTGATGAAGGTGAAGCTGCAGCCCCCCACCAGCACGGAGCTCCCAGCATTCAACCCCATCCTGCCTCCAGCCGCCATCACACAGATCCTACTACTAGCAAATCCGCAAAAGGTACAAAATGTATTCATAGTTAAACTGCTATACTGTCCAGGTACTGCAGTTTTCTCCCAGTCCAAACCAAGCAGTACTTGACAAATGGTTCACAACACACTGAGCATGGGTGTAAATGTGAGTGTGAACAATTGCATGTCTCTACAAATGACCCTGTGATGGACAGGACAACTGTCCAGGGCATAATATTCCCCCTCACCCGAAGACCCTGAAACAAAGTCCTGAATCAAATGATGACTATGTTTTACCTGGAAGTAAAATCATGATGTAAAATTATTAATTTTTAATTTTTTTTAATTTCTACAATATGGATTCAGTATTACTTTTCATTTAAGAAAAGTCTTTAAACATATAAAATGTTAATTTATTTTAATTCAAGCTTATACAGTCTGTCCACACGTGTAGAAAACTCCTTTTTTTTTTCTCTTTAGGAAAAAGTACGTTTGCGGTTTAAACTCACATTCAACCTGGGAGAGAAATTCCACGATGAGTCTGGAGACGTGGACCGGTTTCCTCCTCCAAACTCCTGGGGAAACCTTTAGTGGAGGAACCTCCTGTGGTCTGTCACCCTGGTCTGATGATTGATTTACTCTGAGGTGGAAGCTGGCCCTGGTTACAGGCGGACACCACGCAGCCTTGGTACACGTCACTCCTCTGGTGAGATGAACTGACCTGAGACCAGATGTGGGGAACAGCTTCTACCTTGTGCCTTCCTTCACAGCCTTTTTTCCCCCCTCCTTCATCCCAAGCTTCTGTTTTTTTTCTCTACCTTCTCTCTCCTCCTTCACTCCAGTCTGCACACAGATATTTTTTCAGCAAACTCAAAATAATGACTTGATGCTGTGAACTGTGGGGAAAACAGTGTTTTTACAAATGGGACAAGTTTCTCTCCTCTAACATCAGAGCGGGAGCACCACCTCATGTCCAACACTAGGACATGTCTGATGGACCCAGTGATAGAAAATGTCTTAGACACATGATGACAACACCATGAAAAACAAAAAAAAAGATGCAACAACATCTGACTGGTGTCATGTTAGAGTCCTTGTCATAAATCAAGTTGCTGTATGTTTAATTATTTATGATCTAATTAACTAAATTAAGAACAAACCCCTTTAAAACGTACAATCAAGAAAATGAAATGTTAATGCTTGGCATTGTGAGAAAATTAGCAACAACGTTACGTTTCCATAAATCTCAAATCTGTTTGATTACCTCTGAAACTTGCAGCACTGTGTCGCCTCCTTGTGGTCCACTGCTGCACTTCCCTTCATTAACTAAAAAACTGGCCACCAAAAACGACAAATAACATGCATTTCCGTTATCAATATAAGTCATTGCACATGTCGTACACAGTACAAATACACAAAAAGTACTAAAAGTGCAGTAACAACAAAGTCCTTCATGAATATCTATCTGTCCTTTAACCTCCCATGAAGCTGATATGCAGGAGACACAACCAAAGGTGCTGTTACTGTGGCTGGACATGGGCGTGATTACAGGAAAAAAACCCTCTACTGCAGTAACTGACCTACTATGAAGACTCATCTATTGTGGTCTGTGTACAGAAGCAAACCTGTGATTCAACATGTTACATGTTCAGAGTGATGTCACATCACGCGTGTCTGATGTTGTGCTGTGTTTTCAAAATTCTTGACTCTGTCTTTGCAGCTCGGCTGTTAAAAGTGAGAGTGAATGGATCAAAAGCAAAAATGAAATTGAGAGAAAACAATGTCAGTGCTGCAGTAAGGAAGCAGTTGTCTTCACACCACTGAAAACTGTTTGTTAGTTATACTATCCAGTCCACAGTAGCAGTTTTCCAGTTCACAATCAGGTCATGTTACCAGTGTTATAATGTCATAAATAAATGTGGTCACTCAGAGGTCATGGGTCACTGGAATGAATACTAGAGGAAAATTACCGTATATATTATAAATATTTAGTCTTATGTAAGACATTTTTCTTTGCTTTGTCCATGTCATACCTCCATTGCAGCTTGTGTCCAATAAAGATGAACACTATTATTGTTAAATATTTTTACACAGTGGATTAAAGTTTGGACCTTTTTCACTCAGCCTTACCATAAAGGCATTTTGTGTTACTGAACTACGGTCAGTTTCAATCTAGATATCCATAACAAGCGGAAATGGCAACCATAGTTTCATGGCATTCTGCCTTTTTTACAGCAGTAACTTCAACAGTGTCTCCTTTCTTTCTCCTTTACCTTTATATTTCTGCACTTTTCTAAATATCTAAACTGGACACAATTATGTTTCACTCAGTAAACTGATTTGGAAACTCTTTTTTTTTTTTCAACAAGCACTTTTTTTTGTTCGTTTTAAGTTTGCACACGAACCATTCCATTCTGATTCCTCTGTCTTGATTTGATTGTCACGACCGATCCAAAGAAGGATGTGTGAAGTCCTTTGCGTCCGTTTCCATTCCACCACATGTGCCTGTAATGGAACCTATGACTTCCCTTTGCTCTGTACAATTCCTCTGTGGGTATGTGTGTACGTGTGTGTGTGTGTATACAAATGAAGGATTTGGTCTGTGTTACTGTTTTAATGTGTTGTGACCAACAACGTGTCAACTGATAGTAGAGGTTTTATCTGAATACCTGTTCCTGGCTGGAGTCTGTGAGCTCTCCTGGATCATGATGAATAAAATAAGATATTATCGACCCTTGTTTGACCCTGTTTCATGACCATAACTGACGTCTAATGTTTTTTTCTTTAGGCCAAAACAAACATTTCTTTTCGACTACCACACGCCACATGTGGGCACCATCAACATTTGTGAACACTGAATGCTGCGCCTTTGAAAATGACTTCAAGAAAAAGCCATACTGCAGAGTTAAGCATGGGTTATAAAGATTATAAAGCATTCAGGCTAAAACATAGCTGCAGTGGAAAAGAAAGGTTCTTCTGGAGCTTCTTTTTCTTGTGTCTCTGACACTTCTGTCCAAAATATGTCCCTTTTTAGTCAGTACTTCCTGTCCGGTAAAATATGTCTTAGTACTGTTGTATCATTAACAAACAAATATGTACAAACACATCCATATCTCAGCAGATATTCACAGCATAGGTAAATATAAAATACAACAATGTGTTCACTAGTAAATAAAACTGATTTTTAAAATCTGTTTGTTTATTAATAAAAGAGTAAAAAGAGCACAATAAGTAAAACAGAAACAAATCCATACCAGTAAAAAAAGTAACAGCTAAGATGATTACATGTGTTAAAATAAGCGTTAGCTACGATCTAAGTTTTTTAATTCATTATCGGATTTAGCTTTGTAGAAGAGGAAAAGCACAGACGGGGTCGAGTGGATCATAGTTTATGCTGCAGCACAGAATCATCACCCTTTGAAGGGCACTGAAAAAATCTGACATTTGAACGTCATTAAAATTTCTCATTTCACATTTAAAATGTGTCAAACTGAGCGCGCAATTTGGAATACCACACAGACTGACATTCTCTCACTGAGATCTGAAGCTTTTTCATATAAAACAAATCCTATGATGAAAAAGTCATTAAATACAAACACCACACAAAGAACAGGTGCGGCCTGTAGTTTGGACAGTTATGGTCTTTTTAGCTTGTATTGTTGAGATTTAATGAAGAGAAGTAAAATACGTCCAAAAGTAAAATGTTAAAAATCAATCCCACGATGACAGGAGTTAAAGTGAAAACCAAACTAACTCCAAACAGCTATTCTGTGCTTCTTACTTATCACACTACTTTCGGGGAGGTGGCGGGCCAGTGGGAGGTGGGGGAGGAGACCCAAAAGGGAATGGCGGTTGCCCCATGAAGCCCATGAGTGGGGGCTGTGGGGGAACAAACTGCTGCGACATAAGAGGCTGTGGACCTCCTGCAGGTGGAGGAGGCTGACTGAACTGACCTTGTGGTTGGTTAGGCTGATCCTGGGCTCCAGCGCCTCCAGACTGACTGTTGTTGCGGGAGTTGTAGCCCCCGCTGTAACTCTGGTACTGGTCTGAGCCCGAGCTGTAGCTGTTTCTGTGATCCCGGCTCCGGTCCCTGTACGAGGACGAAGAAGAGGAGGAGGAGCGATCTCCATCACGGCTGCCGCGGTTGAAGCCACTGCGCCCGTCTTTGCTGCCACCTCCACCTGAGCGCATGCGGCGGTCACACTCATCCTGGTACATTAGGTTTGGGTTGTTGGAGCTGCTGTTCCGGTAGCGCATCCTGCCACCTGCAGGAAAAAAAAATATAAATATACACCGAAAATGGCCCAAAAGTGCATTTGTGCAGTGCACAAAGTTTAAAAACTGCGGCCAGTGCGAGCTTTTCTGAAAGTTCCAACATGTCTCTGCGGTGTGGAGATTTTAATATATCTGAGAAAGACCCACAGATAGCAATTGTAAAATGTGTAATGCTGAAATTTAAAAAAAATTAAGAGGGGGTGCATTCATAGAGTCTGGCAGCACACATTTCACTGAGATGTATCTTAATTTTACAATCTTTCAGCAGGCCAGCAGGCCTGTACATTATGATTTAATGAACACATAAGTGAAGTCAAGATTAACATTTTATTTTAATTTGTTTTTATTTTATATTGTGCATTGTTGGAATGTGCTAAATAAATATTTTCATAATTTTTGTAATTAAACATTCATATTATTTATGCAATTGCAGTGCCCTGATTTTATTGAGGTTTAGTTCACAGTCATAGCCATAAATGAAATGGTCCTAATAATTGGCATAATAATTTCTTTCCGTGTTTCGGTTTTCAGCCTTGATTTCCTCATTTTTGATTTTGGCCAACATATATACAATTAAATTTGTAACTTCCCATTGGCTAGACCAAAATATACAATAATAAACTGAATTTGAGCCGAATGTCAGCAAAGCTAACCATCCATAGAGGGACAAACATGTCAGTGGTGTCTACGCTGTCCTTGAAAAAATCTTGAACTTAAGCTTCCGGCAATTTAGCATTGGTGGAAACAAGTTCTCCTGTATTTGAAAACTACACACTTACTAGTCTTCAAGGTTGAGGGTAATCCACGTCAAACTTAAAGGGGCAAACTGACTATGTTTTGTTTTTGTTCTTACCGCCTCCACCAATGCCACGGCCAGAGTCTACCAGCTGAAGCAGTTTTGGGTTGATGGCCTGTCTGGCCTCCTCCAAGACCCGGACCAGGTCTCTGGCCTGCCTCAGGTTTCCTGGTGTAAAGAAGGTGTAGGCAGTGCCTTTGTTGGTGCTGCGGGCCGTACGTCCGATACGATGGACATAATCCTCTGAGGAGTTAGGGTAATCATAGTTGATGACGAATTTGACGTCTTCCACATCTTTTTAATGAAACACGATGAGAGAAAGAGACCGAGATCAAGCCATGGAAATATTTAGGATTGAAGACTTGTGTTTTATTATTAAACTTACCTTTAATTTTTTTTGTTTGCTTAAAGAAAGAAAAGTGAAAGAACCTAAACTGTAACTTACCTGTGTATGAGACACTGAAATCCACTGTTTGTTTGTTTTTTCTAACACCACAGTTTGTCTAAAATTATCTTTGGTACAAAGATGAAACTTGACTCCAGGTTTTCACACATTATTCTGAGTTGTTAATTATTCAGGTTTTTGATCTGGATTCCAATTCACACTGTGTGACGAGACAGTCTGTTTCTCATTACAGAAGATGTGGGGCTCTGACAGCACTGCTGACCAAAACGTCTCCCTGTTACCTCCGTCCAGACAGAGGGAGGTTGTTGGTTCAACCATATCCTTCTGAATATCAGGGTAACATCACTGCACCTTTGGACTGTGCTTTTATTTTAGGTACTTAAGTCAGCTCATGGTGGAATTAAGAGGAAGGGGTGGTGAGGTACTTACCCCTTTATGGTTGTTTTTACAAAAGTCCCCCGAACAGTCCTGGATCACAGGGTGGGGCTGAGGGGGAGGAAGACAGGACTCATTCCTCACTTCCTGAGCACACCAGCAACATCAAACGGGAGCAGAACCATTTAGCATCACACCGACATACCATCGTGCACACTCACACATGCACGCCCACACCCTTGCACTCTGGTTCTGTCGCTCTCTCGCTGCATTGCAGGGCCCTCCTCAGACCCTGGCCAGGACTGGATCCAGACGAGCCCGTATAACTCTCCTTCCTGTGTGTCTGCTTTATGGGACGGAGCGTTGGGCAGACATACAGGCTCCTCAGGCTGCTCCCAAGGAAGGCTCGCTGGATTTACAAACAGTACTTGGTAGAGGGGGCGGGAGGGGTCTTAAATAACCCAAGTAGATTTGGAGGGTCTTTAATCCCTCTTAAACTAGCCGAGCTTCTATTTTATTGTGACCATTGCGGGCAGTGACAGCAGCGCAGACTGATACAGCTGCCATGTGCTGCCAAACCCTGAGAGGAGAAGAGGGGGAAAAAAAGACAAGGATATGGTCATCGGAAATTTGGCAAGTCAAAAGAAAACTCACTCATCCCCCCCTTCTCTTAGTTACAACAGACTTCTGGCTGTTTTACTGCCACTGCCAGCAGCATCTGCAAATGAAAACAACCTCTTCCCTGCTGCAGCACAGCATCTGGAACCACTGCACTATTTGCTTATGTTTCACACAATTGGAGAAGTGTGCATCCTCAGCTTCACCATCATCAACGTCGTGTAAGGAGACATTAGAAAAGGTGTGCAGGAGCATCTCCCCCCACACACCCCTCCATTCAGGCAGCATGCCAAAGAGCCCCAGGTGAAGGAAGCTTTTTTTTTACTGCAGTAACAAGAAACAGACCATAAAGCAGGTGGAGATGAAGACCTGCACCCCCCACACTGGGGCTGAGAGACAACAGCTCATCACGCTGACAGGGCGGACAGGGTGTGTGTGAGGGGGCAGGAGGGAGGATCTGTCAATACACACACAGTGAAGTACAAACTGATGGTATCCCCGGTGTGTGTGTGTCTGTGTGTGTGTGTTAACACTCCTAGTCAGTGTCAATACTGCAGCATTTGAACATAAATCATGTACGTATTTGAATTAAATTACAAACTCTGGCCCTAACACATTTGAAATAACATCACAGCCAATATGTTGATGCACAAATCAAATTGTCCTCTCAGATAGAAGGCTTCAGCAAGGGTTCCCAACCACCGGCCTGAGGATCTATACCAGGCCTTGGATCCTTTGGTTTCAGGCCGCACAAAAAAAAAAAAAAAAATTTTTTGAATAAGCTTTAGTTTGTGTTTTTTTTTTTTAAACTATTATTTTATTTTAAACTAACTATTATATTTACAATGTATAATGTAATAATTTAGTTCTGTATGCCCTGCACTGGTCCATGGAAACTGGTCTTGTATAAAACCAGTCCGTGGTGCAAACCAGGTTAAGAAAAACTGCCTCACAGGCTCTGTACATAAACTGCAGAGGGTGTTGGCATTTTTGTTAATTGCACATTTGGAGCTCCATCTCAGTTTGGGGGGTAGGCTTTTAAAAAACCTTGAAAAACACTAGTCTTGTCTTCAGTTTATGGAGAAATGCTAGGCTGTGTGAACCGATCTCTAACATGTGCCTCTTAGTGGAAAAAAACTCAGCTGATAAGTTATTGGAAAAGAAAGAAATGATCTGAGATCACACACAGTGTTTAACTGTGTGTAATGGGAGACTCACCAAGTCCACGAGAGGCAACGTCAGTGGCAATCAGAATGGGAGCTTTACCACTGCGGAATTCTGCAAGTTAAATATCCAAACCTCAATGTTATCATTACATCATCAATATGAACTATGTCACACTCAGCTAGAACATGTTATATTCATGGTAATATTCAAAATACAAGACAATGTGCAGTAAACTCGGCTCCACCAAAGACAAAAACCAAAAAGTATTTGTCGAGAATATGTTTTTTACCTGTCAGCACCCAGTCTCTTTCTGGCTGACTCTTGTCTCCATGGATACACATGGCCGGCCACCTAATGCCAAAATGACTCCTTTATTAAATCCTGAACATCGTCTGCCAAATAAAAATATTTAAAATTTCACTCTAATTCTTACCCATCTCTCCTCATTCTCCTGGTCAGATCATCACAGCGCTTCTTGGTCTCCACAAAGATGATGGTTTTGTTTTCCTTCTCAGCCATAATTTCTTCCATTAACTGAATAAGTCTATGACACAGAGACACACAAGCAACCAACAGTCCTTCACTTTCTACGGAGTCAGTGTGAGCACATGCTCTTTGAGGCCAGTGAGGAACTTAAAAAAAATACACACAAAATAAACATGGCAACAATACTATGTTAACTTATGAGGCAGAAGTAAACCTGAGGTTTTATAGCTATTTCACCAATTCAGGACACGGTCAGTTTAGACCCTGCTGACATGAGCACACTCCAGGTCTGTATTTGTGATGTTTCTTACTTGTTGTCCTTTTCATTCTCCATGCACACGTCCACTATCTGCAGAATGTTGTGGTTGGCACTGAGTTCCAGAGCACCGATGTTAATCTGAATGTAGTCTCTCAGAAAGTCTTCAGCCAGCTGTCGCACCTCTTTTGGCCATGTTGCGCTCCACATCAGTGTCTGTCTGTCAGGCTGACGTACAAAGGTGGATGAAACATCTGAATGATTGACGTCATCAAAGCACCATCTTTCCTCAATTCTCTACAAACACAGATGCTACTTTACCCTGATTTGTTCAACAATTTTGCGAATTTGTGGCTCAAAGCCCATGTCCAGCATGCGGTCAGCTTCGTCTAGAACCAGGTAGGTGCAGCGGCGCAGGTTCGTCTTTCCAGCCTCCAAGAAGTCAATGAGGCGACCTGGTGTGGCGATGCAGATCTCAACACCTGGAGTTTTGCAAATAAGACATTTTAGTAAAAGAAACTATAAATAAACAACTGTGGAGGTAATGCATGTCACACACTGGCATGCTGGTATTGTTTACACAGGTGCATTACTTTCTATTTTGAGCAGCACCACATTTACGCAATGATCATGTGACCACGGCATTGATGTGAAGAAGTTCTGAGGAGTTCAGGGGTGAAATCAAGACTAAGGGCCAAAACAAACAATAATGTGATGATTTCTATGTTTCACTTTAAACAACTAGAATTGTTTCTATTAATAACAATGATTCTTCAATTCACACTCTAAACACCAGAGTTTGTAGTGCAGCTGACTCAAAACATCTTTCTTTATAAAATGATAATCAAATGTGTTGTGAATATTAAATGCAAACTCAAAAACTCAACATTTCAACCAGCCTTCAAAATAAAAAAAGGCAAATCAATTGATGACACAGCATTCACAGTAAAAGATGTGTTACTGGGGCTCCATTTAAAACAGTACTACTAATTTTTCATACACATCACTAGTAAGAAGTTCGTTAAAGAGGAATAACCATAAATTCATGCAGAGCCACACCCACCCCTCTCCAGGTCTCGAATCTGTGGTCCTTTAGGTGCTCCACCATAGACACAAGTGCTTTTGATACGAGAAGATTTGCCATAATCATAGGATACTTGCTGGACCTGCTGAGCCAGTTCCCTGGTTGGAGCCAGAACCAGACACTGAATAGCAGGAGGAGGAGAAGGAGCAGAAGGAGGAGGAAAAACAGAGGGGGTGTTAATAGTGACAGACTGTCACTATTGCAGTCAAACAGGTTCAGGATTCACTTAGTCGTAGGCACTTACAATGGGACCGTCTCCTCTCTCCAGATAGGGCTGATGATTGATGTGCACAATGGCAGGAAGGAGATACTACAGGGCACAACATAATGTCAGTATAATTTTGAAACTTCAGAATCCATACTGTGGTGTCAGCTTTGTTTACTTACAGCCAGAGTCTTTCCTGAGCCGGTCTGTGCAATTCCCACCATGTCTTTGCCGCTCAGCGCCACTGGAAATCCCTGAGACTGAATGGCTGTTGGTTCTTTAAAGTTCTGCTGAATCAGCACATCCATCACATACTCTATACAAGTAGATGAAGTCAGTTAGTCCACAAGGCAGTGACTGAAATCCATTACAGTCTTCACATTCAGTTCTTCCTACCAGTACTCTCTTAAAACAAAATCCTTTGACCTCTGCACAACATGTGAGAGGAAATAAAATAAAACCCTGATATTAGCAAAGATTCCATCAATAAATAGGCATTGCAACACTCCTGAATGACTTTTTGTACAGGCTCTGGCTGTTTTAAGGTTTTTACAAATTTTACTCACGTGGAAAATGAGCATGATGAAAAGCAGTAACAGCTTTTGGGCAACCAGAGCCTCTGATGGTGATTTCCTTCTTTCTGCAAAACTCTTCCACCTCATACTAGATGTGGCAGGAGAATTAGTAAAGAATTAGAAACCTTATCAAGGGAACAAAAGTGACTATTAAGCCTTTCTTTACAAATCTTTTTTAAGATCTATCAACAGATATCAGATATTCACCTGGCTCATGCGTTGAACATCCGGATGTTCGACGTAAAAGTTCTTCTCAAACTTGGGCAACTCCTCCAAGTTCCACCTTTTCTTGCGGAGACGCTCACCTGGATTCCCAAACTTCATGGGAGGAGGTCCACCACGACCACTCATGGACCCAAACCGTGGCCTGAAATTCATTCAATACATTTTGATTGACTACATTTAACCCTTCAGTGTTGTCTTGAAAGCAGAAGGATTTTCTTGTATTTAAACACCATGGGTCTAAACTGGGCTATGTTAAATACATTTAATTGTATCTTGACAGTTTTACTGTAGCCTTTAAATGCCTTTATAATAGGACTTTGTTGTTGTTGACTAATTTAGTATTATGTATTAGTTTAAGGATCTCTTTAAAAAGCTTTTTACTCAAGTCAAGTTTATACTCAAATAATTTACTTTGAACAATTTTCAAAATTCCTACTATGTTTAGAAGTTCTTCAACAATAATAAGCAAATGTGACCAGGAAAATATAAAGATAAATGTAATTTTGGCATTGCATTTTCTGCATAGCCTTTTCAACAGTGACTTATACATACAGTATATATATATATATATATATAGAGAGAGAGAGAGAGAGAGAGAGAGAGAGAAAGAGAGATACAGTGTATATGCGTGTGTGTGTATATATATGTATAGTTTGTTTGTAGGCAATCGTCCATAACAACGACGAAGAAACATTCGCAACTTATGTGCTCCAAATATATAAGTATATGCTATATGTTAACTCGTTAACACAAACTAAACCAAAAATGTACCGTTCTCGTCCACGGTCTCTGTCCCTGTCTCCATAAGACGATCCTCCTCTCATGTCTGATAAAAACACTCCGACACGTAAGCTAAAGTTTGACGAGGACTTTAAGGTATGGGTAACGAATGTTTACTTAAAAAAGTAAACTTTGTCTACAAAATGATAACGACATAAATAAAATGTTGTATGTTGTATAAAATAATGTCAAATAACGCCTAAGATAGGTTTAGTAAACAAATGCTAATGCGTCACGAGATGGAAAGGGCCGACCATTCTTCCCTTCCCTCTATTTTGGCGTAGCTTCAATTAGTACGTATGCGTAGTACTGTATCAATTGAAAGTACACTGCGCAAAGAACGTTCACCAAGTATCGTTGGTGAATTTGCGTTGTTTATCGTTCATTTTTGCATTTGACCACTAGATAGCACTGTTACATCATTGCTCTGTTATTGCAACACTGTAGCTGACAGGTGGTAGCTGAAGGAAACCGTAGAAGAAGAAATGACCAGGAAGTTGAAGCTGCAGCTGTATTTGTATTTTAATAAGACGTCCCTAAATTGGAAATATAATGATTAAGTTATGAAATAGTATTATAATAACCATTGGAATTTTGTGTGAATTCGGTTTTAATAATGCCTTTGTTCGTTCAGAATAAAAGACTGGAGCGCATTTGCTCGACAGAGGAACTGTTCGAAAAATATCCACATTACAAGGTTTGTTTCAAATGCTTTTGTTATTGAACATAATTGAACATTGTGAAACTAACGGCAAAAAATGTTTGAGTTGTGACATTTGCACAGTTGATCCAACAACCCTTGTCATATTCTCTAGGTCGTGCACCTCAATGTCGATTGTACGTATTTGCCTTAAAAGCTACACAACAAATATATTTGAGTCTAATTCTCTGAGAAATGGTAAATTGGCGTGTTTTAACGTGGCAGTTAAGGTCTGTTGTCTGTTAAGCGTTGCTTAGAGACATTTCCATGTGTGTTTCAGCTTTATCTCAAGCAATTAGGTGCTAAGTGCTCGTTAAAGAATATGAGGTTGGAGCAGCAGGTTAGGTTGATAAAGTAAATACTAACGGTGCGATAGATGGGGCAACAAAAAACAGACGGCTTGCTTTGTGTCAACAGCATAAAAAACCCCACTACATGCTTATTGTAATTCTGTGCATTACTGCTATATACTAAAGTGGTTTGTGCTGCTCTCGTGATTCTTCTTCATTAGCCTGTAACTACATGTATTTTATCCTGAACACTGTAGGAAACTGCAAGAACATTTCACGCCAAGCCACTTGTGGATGTGGACCCAAAGTGTCTGCTGTACATCCAACAAAGAGAGTTTGCAGCAACGACACTAGCAGACAGTGAGTAAAGTCATCGCATGTGAACAGCTACCTTTGTTTTGATTTTATACATCAGCTGACAGCAAATGTATCTCTTCTCACTGACACTCAGATTGTTGGCCCCACATTTTATACTATACAGATAGATCCAATGTCATGGATATTGTGCCAAATATATTTTGGGTGCTGGACTGAACACAGGACAGACATCAATGCAAGGCCGTAAATGTTCTGAGGTTTGAATCAGACCAAATTTATTTGTTACCTTTCACAGACCACGTGTCAGTGCTTGGATCTGATGATGCCACCACCTGTCATTTGGTTGTGCTGCGACACACTGGTAATTTCTTCTCTTACATTCAACACTGACCTACAGTATGTTGTTGTGTTTACAGTTTGGTGATCGGCTGCTCTGGTGTATTTCTTTTTATTTTTCTCTACCTCCCAGGCAGTGGAGCTGTTTGCCTGGGTCACTGTGATGGTTCCGATACCTGGTCTGAAATCCCACTGATAGTCAAAGCTGTCACATCACTGAGTGACACCAGTAAGGTGGGCAGGTAAAAAACAGCACAGACACACAGTAGCACACCATTCAACTGAAGCATCAATTTAGTTTTTTTTTTTAATTGACTGCCCTCTTTTTTTTTTGTTTTGTAGACTGGAGCTCCATCTCATTGGGGGATTTGATGACGATATGAAAACATCCCAGAGACTCAGCCTTGATATAATTGGTACACCTCCATTGGTACACACTTGTATTTGTGTCTATCAGAACTTAGAGTTATTTTTCCCTTTTTTTTTTACAGCAGCGTTTCATAAACAGAAAGAAGACATTTACCTGGAAACCTGCTGCATCACAGGTTTGATATATTTAAAACTTTAATGGTCTGACAGCCCTACTTTTAATACAACTGTCAACCTGTGATGTTTATATTCAGTTTATGTGTCTGTTCTCTGTTACAGAAATGAATGACACTGTTTTTGATGGCACTCACAGGCCAATAGTGTACGGCGTAGGTAGGTTAAGAGTAGTTAGTGAGTCAGTGAGACTGCAGTTTACTTTCAGTGGCTAATGTGGTGTAAATGTCTATTTGTGCACAGGTGTAAATGTTAAAACAGGTGAAGTTTTCCCCTCAACATTTTCTCATAAAGGACCTGCAGAGGAGCTGCGATCGGCACGGACTTTTACTGGGGGAGAGGTAAAAAAAAAGTACTGTTTTAACAATATTCACCTGTGACCACACACCACTTCCACCAGTTTTACTGCTAGCCTTAAATATGCTGAAGAGTGCTCTAATTTAACCCGTAAAAAATTAGAAAATAAAAATAAAAACCCTTATAAACTAAATAGACCATTTCCTAATCCCTTTTTTATTTCAGAATAAAAGGTCTTGATAAAGAGTTGCTCTACCTTTGCAGATGGTTGACATATACGACTCAAGTCGAGGACTTGTAAAAATTGGTCCCTGCAAGTGGCCTTCTGATCTGGATATTTCCTGCTGGTTGACACAAAGAGATGAAACCATTTTAAGGGTAAATCTGACAGTCACTGTTTTCTCCAGTGCTTTCCCTTCCCTCTCCCATTATTACGACAGTTTGTTTGCGTCTGTGTCCCAAACCACCAACTAAGTATCTGTTATTAAGACTGTGATCTTTCTCCTCTCTGTTCAGTACCTGTCCACCTCTCCATCT